GCACGCCCGGAGCCGCGGAAGCCTTACCTCCCGCGCCGCTCGGGGGCCGGGCTGCGTGACCACACCTTCCGCAGCACCAGCGCCGCGCCGGCCGCCCCCCGCGCCCGCTCGCCGCCTGCATCGTCCGCCTTCCGTGCGCAGGGAGAGAGGGACAGAGAGAGCGCGGTCAGTGCCCGCCGGGGTCGGGGCTGGGGCTGCCATCCCGCCGCCCGGGGGCTTAAACTGGGGAGGGGGCTCTTTGCACCCCGGGACAGGGAGGCGGAACGGGCTGCCTTTGTGAGAGGCACTGGGCTCCGTGTGTTGGATTTTAATTCACAGAAGCCACTGGGAGTGGGGCTTTGAATATGCGGGTTTCCGTGTCCCCAAGGTGATGGCTTGTTTAATTCCCAGACAGTAGAACAAAGCAGGGGACAGGTAACAATAGTCTGAAAGCGGCAAGTGCTCCCGAGCACGCCAGTAATAGAGTCAGAATACACCTTCTGTAAGCCTTCTCTCCTGTGCTTCAGTAAAGGCAATACAAACAGTGGGGCAGGCATGTAACGTGTACCTCTGAGCATCTCCTAAAATACTCGGTGTACGGATCTCCCTTCTTGTCAGCAACTTTTTAACTTGGGAAACAAACACCCCCACAGAAAGTTCAGCCCAGTTACGGCCGTGTGCGTGAATTTTGGCCGAGCTGCGCTTTGTGCACCGACTTTCTCCCTCCCCGCTCCCTGAAACGGAAGGGAGGTGAACCATGATCCATTTGTGCACACGCAGCCCGCATCCCCAGCGCGGCCGAAGGCAGCTGACTGAGCAGTGCGGGAGATGAGGGCTTGCTGCTGACTGAGCAGGGCGCAGTGAAACACGGCGGCTGCCGGAGAGCGGCGCGCAGCCCCCTGCGAGATCCTCCTGGCACACAGTCACCGCAGAGTGAGCGACACAAAAGAGACAGCTGTTTCAATGCGAGTACATCCCAGTAGGTGCTGTTCCTCTTATTCTGACCTGGCTTAGTTATACTGTTCAGTATGTCAATCACACATATGAAGGCCATATGTGTAATACTCAAAGAAGAGAAAACAGCATTTGTGCATGAAGTGTACAGTATCCAGCAGTGAGAAAGACTTCAAATGGGCTAAAAATTGTTAAGGAACAGAGCTACCTTGGCAAAACAAGGGAGAGAAACCACTTTATGATTCCTCTTTCTGTTATTTTATTTTTTTATTCTGAGACCCGGTGAATCTAACTGGTACTTCTGGTTGTCACTGTGGTGCAGGCATGCCCAAAGATGCAGCCCCTGCCCTGAAGAAGTTTTCTTTGTCAGTAAAGAACATGTAGAATTGATCTATTAAATTTCTGCAAGGTCAGACATACAGGTGCTGAGCCAATTAATGTCAGATATTCATTGTAACACTCCCAGGAGACATTATTGAGCAGCCGCGTTACAGGACTACTGATGCATAATTGTAATCTTTCATTTCACTGGCCGTGGTTTTTTGTTGCCTACATGTTTGAAAAACTGCAATGAAAGAAGCAGCAAAAGAGAAGGAGAGGAAGAACAGGCATAGCATTAAAGCAATTCAGTAAAAGGGAGATTTATCCAAACAAATAAATCGCTCCATTTCTCTGTCTCTTCTCTGGCATTTCCATCCTCTAAAATAGCCCTGATCCTCATTTCCCTGTGCTCACTGACATTCCAAACTGCAGCACATATGGAGAATGTATGTGATGTATGGTGCTGTATTTGTACAAGCCATCTATCTCCTCATAGATGGGAATGGATTTTAAGCACACCCATATACATTACACACATGAGCAGCTGGCAGCAAGTCAACAGGGAGCACTGGGATGGTGAAAGCTCTTTCATACTGAAAGGACATTAACTATGGTTGGTGTGGAAGACAGTGTTTCCCCTTCAGCATCTCACTAGGCAGAGATATTTTCAAAAAACCTTTGGAGTAGGTGTTTGCAAATTTACAGCATAAAGTGCCCCAATGGTAAGATTTTCATAAGACTCTTCCTCTTCTTCTTGCCTCTTTTAGCAATTTCAAGGAAGAGAAAAATCAATCTATTTTATCAAAAATTGGGCAAAATGAAGGCCAGTTGGGTTCAAGTTGGATTTTCATTACCTATAATAAATATTTCCTCAAAAAAAGGAGAGGAATAGAGAATTTCTTTATTTTTCTATCTTACATCAAAAACAATCTCACTTTAAGGGAAGAATTACTATTTCATTAAACCTCCACTTATACATGACATATTTTTGTGTTCAGTCAGGCCCTTTAATCATACAACAAGCCAAAACAATTAACCTGAACAAAACAAAGCACATAGGCAAGTCCTACATATTTTCACAAGTCCCCATTTCAATACAGATATTACTCTAAAATGACATCAAGGCACGCTTCATTTACCAGAACCTGGAATGGTCCGTGAAATAATTCTTGCTGGAAGAAAACCGGGCTGTTCTCAGCATGCTCCGTCTAAAGCCAGTGACAGATGAGGAGGATGCCAGGGGCCCCCAAGTGACAGCAGCGTGTACTGAAGAGCAAGGCAGCACCCTGGCAGAGTCCCTGGGAGTCAGCACACTGACTCGAGAGACGTTCTCATCACGCTTCCAGTTAACAACGAAGCCTTCCAGCAGTTTTCCAGACCTTCACACAGCCCTGGCAACCCGCGCCGGCCGTGCAGGGGAGCAGAGGCACAGCATCACCAGTTCTCATTTTATGGCCGGGCAGAAGGATCGGGGCAGAGAGGCCACCACAGCATCCCAGTTCGCTTGAGTGACACTACACTGGCACCTGAACTTGAGCCCCCACACTGCCTATCTGATATTTACTGTGCTCCAGGGCAGTGGGTAGGAAATTACTTCCAGCAGCCTTGATCAGAATAAATTTGGAGTTGAGGTGGGACAGAAAGGGGTAGAGCACCAAAATGCCACAGGGGTAAACTGCCATCTCACTTTACATGTGGCCTTATGTGCACTCTCCCTGTCTCATCTGTACCTTCAAAAGGACCATTCACATCCTGTTAGGATGCTATAATCAATCCATGGTGCACATTACCCATCACAAGGAAATTTAGCTAGCTCTGCATCTGTCAGCCACTATATTTCACATTTATTACAGCTTTTAATTAATCATCTCTTGATAGCTAAACACAGCACTATCAACCTCGATGTCAGTTCCCAGCAGGAGTTTCAAGTAAACAGCAAGGTTCTCTGGACTCAGTGGATCTTCCAACCAATATTATAGCCAATTTTCCACTCCTCTCATCCATCTTCCTAATACTGAGGTAAGCCATTTATCTCCTGGGTAATATATTTTAACAGCAGACAAGTGCTACCTTTATTTTCAGCATGAAAGGAACCCTGGGGTGGTATAAATATTTATATGCTTATAGGAATGAAACAGCTGGAAGTCATTGCTTAGCGGGCCTCAACTTGTGAGTTACCCTTTGCATGAGCAGGAATATGACCCCCTGAGTTAGCACAGAGGAAGAAGGAAGCAGAAGGAACCTATGGCTTTGTTGAAAACAGCCTCTGTGGGCTGGCTTCCTTATGGAAGCCATTAGGTTTCTGGGTTATTTGCAATTGGCAGGGAAAACCCAATCTCTGGCCAAAGCAACTGGTAACTTTGGTATCAGGGATATTTCTGTGTTCCTTGCATTCCTGAGTTTGGCCTTCTAATTAATTAAAAAAGGATCCAACACCCAGAATGCACTGCCTCCTCTCTTCCTGTGAGAAACCTCCACTGCTAGAAATAGCATTAAAAGCTGCTCTTCTTTCCACCAGCTTTCTAACAGAAAAAAAAAAAAATTATGCTCTGCAACAGACAGTATATTCAGAAGCCTGCTTCACTGAAAAGAAAATCCATTTTCACATAATTTCTCGAGGACAGGACAACTGTGCAAAGATTAATTTCTGTATCTGTGTTACGCATTACTAAAGTGCCTGTTATGTTGGAACATCCCTAACCAACAATGCAAACTATGCACTTCCCAATGACAGAACTTTTGTCCAACATCTCTTCACCTGCTTTTTTTTAAAAGGGGTCAGACCCAGAGCTACCCAGCCAATACCAGAGCCAGACAGATTTACACACTGCCGGTTTCAGTGGGTAAAAAAATAATACAGGAAATAAGAGATAACCTATAAGGTACCTATAAACTTAATAGAGCATGGAAAATCCAATGCACAGACAGATTTTCCTGCTGCCAAACAACTAAGCAAAGGCAAAGAGAACTTTCTTTGGACAACATGCAACAAAGCAAACTTTACACAGACTATCTGCTTCAAAATCACATTAAATGACAAAGAAATTGCCTCTTCTAGCAGTTATAGAGGGCAGGAACATTTTGTTTTCCTAGCATAATTTGGTAAAACTGACTCAAGACAATCAGATAATGTCAATCACTTCTGCCTCTATGTCTTTTGATGCTGGTGCCAGGTCATGCCCTTGAGAGGTACAGGAAAAGGTGTACGCAGAGGATTCCCAGGGTTGTTTGTGCTCTGAAGAGGAGACTGCTCTTCTCAACGAATTTAAGGAGCTTCCCTGCGCACACAGGAACATATCCAAGCAGTGTGAAACACAAGAGCAGAGTCAGGAAGTGGGGTCAGAAGAACAAGTGTAGAGAAACTTTGACTGCACATGCAGGGAAAGTCCTCAAACTGGTGACAGAGCCTAACAAAAGCCACAAAATAACAAGATCCTCATCTCCAATGACTGACTGTTTTGCTGGGCAGGTGTCTTTTTGCTTGGATATTATAATATCTCTGGTATATACTATCCATGCAAAAGAAGAACATGAAAAAGACAGAAAAGTCAAGAAACTGAGAAACAGTGACTGGTAATCTTTGTATTATCTAATGTAGTTCCTTTGAATAAAACACTCTTTATTTTTTTCCACTCTGTCCTGCTCCATCCCTACAACTCCTCCTTGTTCAGTGTATGTTGAGACTTAACTCTGAGACTGGGTCCAAGCTAAGGGAAAAGGCCTTTGCAATATGGCACTGAGGTCCCCCTTTATTTTTTTCCACTCTGTCCTGCTCCATCCCTACAACTCCTCCTTGTTCAGTGTATATTGAGACTTTGAGACTGGGTCCAAGCTAAGGGAAAAGGCCTTTGCAATATGGCACTGAGGTCCCCAA